AAAAAAAAAAAAAAAAGCTAGCATGTAGTTGTAGCTTCTATAATTAATTAAGCAATGTTTGCAAGTAACGCGGGATATCATTCAATTCTTTTTCACTATATATATGTCACTAATTCAGTCCTCAAATCATACAACTACTTCACATCAATTCTTATCAGAAGAAAAATTAAAAAAGAAACTCATCATAAACAAAATCAAACAAAAATGTCTTGTTTCTCTTCATTCTTAACTATAATAACCTTCGCAACCATTTTTGTCGTACTTCCGATGATATCCGAAGCTCAGCTATGCACCACATTTTACGACACTACTTGCCCGGATGTGTCGAATATCGTCGCTAATCAAATTAGTCAAGCTTTAGTCAAGGACTCGCGCATCGGCGCAAGCCTCATTCGTCTCCATTTTCACGATTGCTTCGTTCAGGGATGCGACGCGTCTATTTTGTTAGACGACAACACCACAGTGCCGATCGTGAGCGAGAAAAGCGCGGCCCCCAATGCCAACTCGGCCCGCGGATTTGATGTGATCGACGACATAAAAACTGCTGTGGAGGCCGCATGCCCGGGAATCGTGTCGTGTGCCGACATCCTAGCCCTAGCCGCTGAGTCTGCCGTCAGCCTGGTATTTATTTATTTATTTTGCCAAAACGATAGATATTGTAACACCCAAAAACACAAAATTATAATTACAAATAGACATTAATAACTAGTAATAGCCAAGTAGCTAAAAACTTGAATCTAGTGAGAGGACTACTCACTAATATTTAATTAATTGATATTCCTTAATTTTCGGAATTTCTTTTTCTTGTATCATTTTTTTTTTTTTTTTTGGTCAGTAACTAAATTAATTCATCACAATCAATTTGATTTAATTAATTTTAGGCAGGAGGCCCGTCGTGGTCCGTACTTTTGGGAAGAAACGACAGCCTAACAGCAAACCAAGCCCTGGCGAACACGTCTATCCCGGCGCCAACTGAGTCCTTAGCCAACATCACGTCTAAATTTATGGCGTTCGGTCTTAACCTTACCGATGTAGTTGTATTATCAGGTACGCATATAATCATGAATCTAGAATAAATAATTTGGTGCGCATACGTGGAAAATACTTACTTGATTCCACAAAATTATTATTGTTGTTATTAACTTTACAAATAAACTAAAGCGTGTTAATTTATGGTCATATATATATAGTAAAAGTTGGTATATTTACAAGTAAGTATATAAATAGAAATTTATGGATGGTCTACGTAATATTATCGATAGGGGCCCACACGTTCGGGCGTGCACGCTGTGCGACATTCTCCTCCAGGCTGTACAATTTCAACGGGACCGGTCAGCCCGACCCGTCTCTGGACGCGACGTACCTGAAGAGCCTCCAGACGCTGTGCCCGCAAAACGGGACAAACACGACGGGATTGTTGGGAAATTTGGACCCGACCACACCCGACCAGTTCGACAACAACTACTACACGAACCTGATGAGTCAGCAGGGTTTGCTTGAGTCGGACCAGGTGTTGTATTCTAACAATGCCGACAATCTGTCGAAGTTGGCCAGGGGGATTGTACAGCTGTTCAGTGCCAACGAGGCAGCTTTTTTCGAGATGTTTAAGGAGTCGATGGTGAAGATGGGGAACATCAAGTCGGACCAGCCTGGAGGGAGGGTGAGGACCAACTGCAGGATGGTCAACGGCAGTTGATCTTATGCATACGTATCATTCATGTGTGTTATTTGGTCGGGCGAGTGTTTGATTTATAAGGTATCGATCGAGAATGTCGAATCATGCTTTGGATTTTCAAATGTTATTTTCTGGTTTTTCTGATTATTATTACTATTATTATTATTATTTTTTAAGATTGAATGTGTTATGATGTGTTTGCATATTGGAAATGAAGGCGTATATTTTGCGTTCTTAAGATTTAATTTATATGAAGGAGAAATATAAAATATTGTCACGGACTTACAGAAACCGGGAAAGAAGCCAATGTTTGGTTTGTTTGTTATTTATTTATTTATTTATTTATTTTTTTAATTCAAATTTGAGAAGAATAGTGACCTAGCTATTACGTAGAATTCATAGTAGTTAAAAAAATTGAATGAATGGCGAAATAAAACAGATGAAATTGGATGAAAGGTGTAATTTTGACATGAAAATTTAAATCAATAAAAAAACGTGCTTAGAACATTACTAAAAAAGGAGTGTCTTGTGAGGTTGATTGAATAAGATTTGTTAACGACTACTGGCATTGACTTAACGAGCATGTGCTTGAAAATTAGGAGCTGGA